TAAATCTTGGCCACACATCATGTACCAATCTAGTGGCTAGGAATGAGTCTCACATTCACACTTTAAATATGTGTACTCATTGGATCCAATCCCTATATATATATATATTATGTACTTAGAAGTTCTAGTTAAAATATATGTGTATCTTAAGTATGTTTTATATTTCTCATTAGCCAACTTCAATTGATATTGTACACTAAGTAATTTTATCAGCATTTTTACTTTTCGATTTAATGAGAGATATAAGTTTTGTCATCATTCTTACCCCTTATTTAGTTATTATAATGCTAATAAAATAATTAAGGATCTTTCAAAGTATCTTGTTTGTTTTGAAAAAAATTACTTCTTATCATAAATTGAACGCCAATTACATTGAATGTGTTATATTTTCTATCGTATAAAAAATTTTCATAATAATAGTTGCACACAATATTATATATAATGCATTTTTTTATGGATTTGGAGTCCTAGTTTTACTACAAGAAAATGAGAAAATTCCAACAAAAAATACAACGAATATAACGATTTCCTTATGTTGATTTAAGAAAAATCTTGACTTTTGGTTTCTTAAATATATTTTACCTTATTGTGATTGCATAGATTTATTAAGATGTATTACAAATGAGAAAGGTGATAGATTATATAAAGTATAATTTATAAATTGCAATGACATGTTATTTTGATGGTATATTTTTTTCTATTAACTAAATAATGCTCCCAATATGAAATTATTTTGGATCTATCACTGCAATTATCTTTCTAATGGAACTTCTATTGAATTTTTGCATAATACCAATGATAATTTTATCAACGATTGAAATATGGTCCAAAAAAATTCCAATAGAAATTCATGTAATTGAAATCTTTGAATCCACTAAAGTTCATGTAATTTAATTTGAACACTAATGGAATAGCCAATGAAATTTTCCAATGAAAGCAATATATTCGTGGCAATTTTCAGTAGAATACCTTACCGTTGAGTTTTTCATTGCAGTATAGCAATTTTTTGTAGTCCTCTCAAACATTATTTTTTATGTAGTATTTATTGAGTAAGTGTGTTTACAATTTTTCTATTAAAAATATAATAAACACGTGAACCTTTTAGTTTCTATATTTTTTTTTCAGAAATCACTCATTATTTTATCTCAAGATTACCTATTAATTTACCAATTGAGTTACATTTCTTACATATTAAATATTATATAATTAAAATAGTTCTTGTTTTATATGTTCAATATGATACTTATATATTATATTAGAAAAAACTAATATAGTAAATAAAAAAGTTATTTAGAATTAGAATAATAAAGATTTTTTTTTCTAATCTACATGGATAAATGTACAAATTATTATTGTCTTATCACCTCAAATTAACACATAAAATTAATAAAAATAAAAAATTAACAAGCGTTTAACAACTCAGTTCAATTACATCGATAAGTATATTTTTAGAAGGTTTATATTTAGTTATATTAATTATATTATTTTTGTTTATTTTTATTTTATATTTATTAGTACGTGTCACAACTTAGTTATTATTTATATTATTTCTTATATTTCATATTTTTTAAAAACTTTATCTTTTTCTTTCACATGTTCTTAACTGTATATTTGTCAAAAAAGACATAATATAAAGTATAGAATTTTTTCGATCATCCGTCTCATTATATATCAAATATTTGTATATCCTATATTATATTATATTTAATTACAATTTTTTAATTAATATTTTAATTAAATATTTACAATTCATAAATTCATTAATAGTATTGTTGAATCAACTTTTGTTCATAAATTTTTTTTAAAATATATTATTTTCATTGATTTGCTTATGTTGAATTGAGAAAAGTTATGTTTTTTTTTTTAATTCTAACTGTATTGATGTGTTAGACATGTACTACATATGAGAAAGATGACAAACAATAAAAAATATAATTTATAAAATATAATTTATAATTATAATGACATTATGTTATTTTAATGATATACTTTTTCTATTAACCAAATAATGCCTCAAGTATGAAATTATTTTGTATCCACTACTGGAGGTAGATTTCGAATAGAACTTCCATTGAAATTTTTACAATTTCAGTGACATTTTTCCAACTGTTGAAATATTACCCGAATTTTTTTTTAACAAAAATTCACGCAATAATAAATAATGATAATTGAAATAAATATATTACACAAGAATAAATAATGTAATTTGATCTCTGTTGAAATAGTCAATGCAATTTTACAATGACAGATATACAAATAAAATATCATTTAGAAATTCCAGTTAATGTCTTACCGTGATGTCTTTGAAAAAAAAAAAGTTAATGTCTTACCGTTGGATTTTTCATTGCAATGTACCATTTTTTTATTCCTTTATATTTATAATTTTTATTAGGAGTTTTTGTTATTAATGAATTGTATTTATAATTTTTATATTAAAAATATGTTAAACAAGTGAACTTGGTAATCCATATAATTTTTGCAGAAATTGCACATTATTTTATTGCAAAATTACCTATTAATTTATCTATCGAATTACATTTCTTGCACATATTACATAACGAAATGTATTATTTTTTATATATATATATATATATATAATATGCCATTAATATGTTATATTAAAAAACTAAAAGCAAGTAAAACGTTATTGAAAATCAAAATAATTAATTTTCTAAGAAAAATAAATTTCTAACCTTCATGGATAAAAATATAAATAACTGATGTCTATCATCTAAAATTTATGTACAGAACTAATTACAAATTATAAAAGTTTTATAATTACTTTTACTAATTATAATATTTTTATTTATTACTTTTTTTTCATAGTTATTAGTAAGTGTTACAATTTTATTATAAATTTAATATTATTTATCAAAATTACTATTTTTTACTTTATATTGTTTTTTTATATGTTTTTAATGTGCGTGTGTGCTTGTGGGTAACTTCTCGGTTTGTTCAAAAATATATAAAATTAAGTATAGCACTTTTTAGGTCATATGTCTTATTTATATCAATTAATTTTACATTTTTATATTATTTTGTATATAATTATAATCTTCTCATTTATACTCAAATATATAATTTTTTTATTTTGTACATTTTTTTTTTTAAAAAAAAACATTTTATTGTCATAACACATATAAATAAATAAATGACTAATGATAATATATGAATATAATTTTTGATAAAAAAGTAATTAATTTTCAACATGTAGGCATATCATGATTCTCGAGATATTTTTAATTAGTTTGTAGATAATTATATGGTCAAAATTAATTCATATTGCTAAAGTGGTATCTCATTAGACGTGAAAACAAATTGATACAGTTTTAATATTATACAATTTCATAAAATTGTACTGATCTTATGTAGTAAAGAAATTGAATAGATTAGAAGTTTATGTTGCAGAACAATCATTCAACAATTAATCTTGCATACTATCACACATTTTTTATAGGTTATTATTTTGAAAAAAATGTTTGAATATCTTGTGGTTGTTATGAGAAAAACAATATCGATTTCTAGTTTTACAAGTGTTTTCAACAATTAATTTCGCATACTATCACACATTTTTTATAGGTTATTTTGGAAATAATGTTTCTATATCAAACAGTTTAAAGATATGTGGAAGAAAACAATGTTATTTTAGGTGTGTGGAATGAGTTGTTCATGTATTTGCATTTGATTAATTGATATTAGTTATTAATTAATAATATAAGATCTGATGGCATTAGTATATTACCAATTTGCCATTAAAAACATGTCAAAGTAAGGATTTCTTAGGTAGTTCATTTTTAATTAAAAATATAAATAAAATATGATGTGCATTAGTGTATTAATAATTTACCATAAAATTTACGTCAAAGTAAGAGTTTTTTAGGTATTATGAATTTTTACAAAAACACTCCTCCTTTTAGAGTAGTATAGATATAGATAGATATAGATAGATATAGATTGTCAATAAAAATGTTACTAATCATTCTAATTCATCATATTAATTTTATTCACTATTCATCCACTCATATAGATTTAGTTAACCATCACTTTATATCATTTCGCTCATACTTTTAAATCTAATCAACTTTAATTATTTTATTTTAAATATTATTTTAATATAAACTTAAAAATCTATTAACAACTAACCATACAACTTTTTTTTTTTTTTTTTTTT